TTATTATTAATTAAATAATATAATTTAATGTTGTTATTATTTTAGTTGTAGATCTTTCTTTTTATTTTATTTAATTCCAAAAGAAAATAAAACTTGGAAAATTCAGAATAACGTTGACTCCAGTCAATTTTTTTTTTCGCCAGAGTTCCTCATGTTACATGACGTCATTATTCTCGATATCATCATTGTTAACATCATCGTCTAGAGATTATCATCGTCATCTTTGTGGTTGGTTATTATTGCATGGTTTTTGTAATTGGCGTCTTTACGCTAGTGACACATTTGTGTGATCCTCTCCACCGAATATTCCATCTTCATCATCGTCGTCATCAGTGACGTCATCATCGTCATCCTCAATCATCATTCGTATCATCACATATATATGTTCATTTCTTAAAATCTATCTCTACTTATAAGTCAAGGGTAAAAGTAGTAGTAGTAGTAGTAATAGTGGTGATGGTGGTAAAGGGTAGCAGTAGTAGTTGTAATAATGATACGCGTGCGTGCAAATATTTACGTGTGTATGTATTTGTGTATAATACGTGCAGTTCCTATAGGACTGTATTACGCACGTACGTTCGTATGTATGTGTGAATGTGTGTGTGTATGTTCGTATGTGTGTGTGTATGTATGTGTGTGCGTGTGTGTACTAGTACGTAGGCCGAGTATAAACATCCAGGTTTGTTGTCATTTGATGTTGTTGCTGTCGACGACGACGCTAATGTTGATGATGATGTTGATGATGATGTTGATGATGATGTTGATGAGATGATGATGATGTTTTTCTTGATGGTGATGATGACGATAGTGATGAATGATGTTGGTGGGTCAGTTTGGGCATCACAGACGACAATGACGTGAATGTCACAACGCAGTTGACCGGAAGTAATGATGACGATGAGGAAAAGTGATTATAATAATAATGATGTTGAGGATGATGACGACGACGATGATAATAATGATGATGATGACGACGACGATGATGATGGTGGTGGCATGTAGAACTATGGAACGCTGTCAAAGACAAACAAAATGATGACAATAAAACGTCGGAGAACGTTGAATGCATGATGATGATGACGATGATGATGCTGATGATGATGATAACGATGATGATGACGATGATGATGACGATGATGATGACGACGATGATGACGATGATTTTGTTAGCCAGAAAGTACAGAAGGCATGAATGAAAAGTGAACGAGTAGAAGGATTATTGAGTGATTGAATGGATTAGGGAAGGAATAGAAGAACGAATGAATGAATAAATTAGAAAAAATAGATTGACTGACGCTATGAATGAGCGAGTAAAGGAATGATTTTGAAAAAAATCAAATTGAAAATTAGTAGGTGAATGAACGGACACATGGACAAATGAATGAATGATAAAAAGGAATGAATGAATGAATGAACAAATAAATAAATGAACGAATAAACAAACAAACGAATGAACGAGTGAACGAACGAATAAACGAACGAACGAATGAACAAATCGATGAGTAAATATTTTACTGTTTCGGAAACAAATATTTCATTCGATTATGCTAGTTTCTTAAACAAAGGAACAAAACTCTTACAATGAAAACAAATCAGAAACATTTTTTTTTCAAAAAAATCTCAAACAAAATTCTTTTTAAGCAAGTAAAGAGTAATTTAAATGAAAGTAATGCTGCTTATCGTTCAATTACCACACGTACACACACACACACACGTACACACACACACGTACACACACCACAATCACATCACATCACGTTGCTAAGCAACGAACTCATCAGGGCTACATCAACCTTTTTGGAAAAATTGAATTTAACCAAGTTACGTCTCTCTCACTTTGATTTTCTCTCTTTCTCTCTCTCTCTCTCTCTCTCTCTCTCTCTCTCTCTCTCTCTCTCTCTCTCTCTCTCTCTCTAGTAGTTCTTCTTCATCTTTCTCCCTTTTTTGTATTTTTTTGTATTTCTCTCGATGTCTCTCTCTCTCTCTCTCTCTCTCTCTCAGGCTTTTTTCACTATTTATTTTTTATTGTACTTTTTCCAATTCCATTCAATTTTTTCACTCACTCTTTCTCTTCCTCTCTCTCTTTCTCTTCTCCTCGTTTTTTCTTTCACTAACTCTCTCTTTCTCTCCTTCCTTTTTTCCTCCAACTCCAATTAATGTCTACTTCCGGCAGATTCATTCTCTTTTTATAATGTCTCTCACTTGAACATCGCTTTGGCTCTATTTATTTATTTTAATGCATTGAACAACTTCTTTAAATGCCAGAAAATGATGATGATGATGAGGATCATGATGATAATGATGATAATAATGACGATAATGATGATGATAATGATGGTGACGACGACGACGACGATGATGATGATGACAAAGATGCAGACGAAAGAATGAAAGTTAAAAAAGGTCTTTTTTAAAGTTTCAAATTTTAAACAAATTAAGTTCTGCCTTTTTCTATGCCGGGCTAAAATGATTAAAATTACATTTGGAGGTTAACAACAACAACCACGACAACAATAACAATTAAAAACCACAACAACAGCATCAACAACATCAACACCACAACAACAACAACAACAGCAATAACAACCACAACACCAATAACAATAACATCAACAACAATAACATCAACAACAACAATAAGAACAAAGATACAATGCAACCAACAACCAAATTAGTGACAAATTGAAATGCTTGAGAAAACTACACAGCTACAGCTACTACACACGCGCGCGCGCACACACCAAACACACACACACACCACACACAAACACAGACAGACACACACACAGACAGACACGCACACAGACACAAAATTTTTCCAGCAAAGAAAGGATGCAGATGATATTACAAAAATTTAAAAAAAAATGGAATAAATAACCAAACGATAATTTAAAAGACGCGCAAAAAACTGAATATGTAGGCTGAACGTCTTGGAATTGAACACATGGGAAACTACACGCACCACATGCACACACACACATACACACGTACACACATACACACACACACACATACATTCAACATGCATCCATTTACATTTGAATTCTTCTGTAGTACGCGCGATTTTGTTCTTCAGCTTGTATGTACTACGTACGAGTACACGTTACTCTCTATGTTGTTTGTTCGTTTATGTGTGTGTGTGTGTGTGTGTGTGTGTGTGTGTGTGTGTGTGTGTGTGTGTGTGTGTGTGTGTGTGTGTGTGTGTGTGTGGCTGTATGAATGACAAAAGAAGACTGAAACAGTGATCTGTGTAAATAATTCCTCTCCCCGCTTAACGCAAGATTCCATCTTTTTTTTAATGTGACTCCGAACACCTGTGTTTACATTTTGTATGTTTGTTTGTTTGTATATGTGCATGTGTTTATCCATCTTTCTGTATGTTTGTGTTGTTTGTATGTGTGTATGTGTTTATCTTTCTTTTTGTATGTTTGTTTGTATGCTTTTATCTTTGATTTTGTATGTGTGTATATATATATATATATATATATATATATATATATGTGTGTATGTGTGTTAGTATGTGATTTAATTGTATATAATATGTATATTTATTTCGTTTTATTATTATCGGGTAAACAATTTTTTAATTTATTTTACGTACAGTATTTTTATTGTTCTTAAAAGCATTTATATAGCGCTTTTTATGAATATTTTTTCAAAATTTACACGTATTTGTATATAATTATTTCTGTATCGTTTCTATATATGTACTACATACATATATATAACGCTTTGCTTGACATGAAGAACACAAAAGAACAAAAATTGGTCTTGGTACATGTTTGTGTGTGCGTGTTTACTTTCGTGTTTGAAAGAATGTTTGTGTGTGTGTGTGTCTGTTTGTTTATTGGTATGTGTGTGTGTGTGTGTGTGTGTGTGTGTGTGTGTGTGTGTGTGTGTGTGTGTCATCCGTGAATGTGTTTCATTCGAAAGCGTACAAATGTGAGGATTTATTTTTCTTTGCTTAAATGTTTGCACGTTGTTTGCATGTCTGTTGTTATGTAATTTGTATGTTGTTTATTGGGTTTGTATGTTGTTTTTGTTTATATCTGTGAATAGTTTCGAAACTTCACTCACACACACGCACGCACGCAGGCACACGCAATTACGTGCAGTTATCTTTCTGCTGCTTCTCCCCGCACATTCCTCGACGGAAGCATCTCTGTAGAAATTTCCTGGCTAGTAGTAATGCGATAAAGAATTATAAATAACTTAATATGCACATGTCCTCCTAACTTTTTAAGCACTTATTTCTCTCTTTTCTCGGCCGCTATTATTGCAGTTTTTGTGTTTTTTTGTCTTTTTGTTTGTTTTTTTTTATAGTTTTTAACGCATTAACGTGTGATGAAGGTGCAATTTACAACAATTTTTTAAAGGTGCAAATTTTTTAAAGTATTGTAATAGTCTAAAAGAAGTTTGCTATAGTGAGCTAATTGAAGTTGCTAAAGGTGCTAATAACTTCTCCATTGCCTTTTTTCATCTGCCCAATGAACGCAAATTCTCTATAAAAGTGTTTCTTACGCTAATTAAAATGGAAGCTACACATGCATTGTCAGTTTTGGCGGGAACATGTTAGTATCTTGGTACACCGTCTGTGACATTTTTAAACATTACATGTGTGCTTTTGTGTGTGTGTGTGTGCGTTGGTTAAACTGTGTGTGTGTGAGTGTGTGTGAGTGAGTGTGTGTAGGTGTGCCTTGTGAAATTATTATTGCAGTAAGTAGCACCCACATTAAGAAGAGGGAGCGTAATGGAATTTTTTGTTGTACGCAACAAAAATCTAATGACCAACCTCGCAACCATACCCCACAAATTAGCTATTTATCGTGCGCATGGCATAAATTTATGTGGGCGATAAAACAAAACGATTCTGCACACTCCAAAGAAGGGAAAATGCAAGGGAAACAAAGAAATCATAGGCGATAAAAATCTGTCGCTGGCAATAACTCAGTGTAATGACATCAGTTAGATGCTGATGTTGTTGACGTTTATTTAATGTCATGCACATTAGTTAAATGTCTTCACGTTCTTAACATTAATTTGATGTTAGAGACATTAGTTAGATATTTATGTTCGTGACATTAAGTGATGTTTGTTAAATATT